AACATGATGATGTCTCTTTTGAACCAATATGAACTAAGTTTCAATTTCGCAAAAACAAAGTTGTACAAACCGCCGTGTATATTCCTGAAGAAATAATATTTCTATAACGATTGAGTGACTGATGAATGAATAGCATGATGATGTCACAGCAGTCACTTGCTTTTGGAGGTTTTTTTTAGGGTTGGGGCTTAGCAGGTAGAACAAAATTAATGAAAAATAATATAAATATATGACATAAATGTACATCAAAAAGTCAAAAGAAATGTGATGTATTACAGATCAACAAAATTCAACATGAATTAGTATTTTAATCACCCTTTAATGTTATCGTTGTTATTACTATTATTATTATTATTATTATTATTATTATTATTATTATTATTATTATTATTATTATTATTATTATTATTATGATTATTATTATTATTATTATTAGTAGTAGTAGTAGTAGAAGTAGTATTGGAAGTAGTAGTAGTTATTATTATATACAGTAGGCTTACCATTATTATTGTTGGTATTAAAAGATTACACTTCTGTTATGTACTTTTCCATCTTAAAGATTGAGCAAACCATGAACGACAGAGTAAACAGGTTGTCCAAACATGCATAGAATCTCTTCACCGACTAGAAAGCTAATTCAGATGCACTTTTAAAACCTCCATCTGACAAAGCAATCGTCTTGCTTAGCAACGCATCACTTATTCCATCTGATGCTGAGAAGGCCCAGAGGTTTGGTGCAGGGATGGAGGGCAAGGTGGACATGACAAGAGCAGAACAGAGTCCCCAGAGGTTCTCTACGCTGAGATACAGAGGTTGAAGAATACCCTCCAAAGGTACCAGGATATGAAAACTAGCTCAAATCAGTGTTCGCCAGGGTTATTTTGAGGTTGAAGAATACCCTCCAAGGGTACCAAGATATGAAAAACAAACTCAAGTATTGAAGTGTTCGCCAGGTTTATTTTAGTATAATTATGTTGAACTCTAAATCCATTCCAATATTGAGACAGATGCAATATTCAAGATCGCGGTTTCTGTCATATCTTATCAAGATAAGGCACGGCTTGTACTACGGGGGGGGGGGGTGTAGGAGGGGATGGGGTCAGTCACACCAGATGGAGGTGGCATAATTATCTTTGTATCCCTTTTTTCTATTTTGAAAATGTACTACTATTATATCATAATAAGGAAGTGTGATGGCTCAGCTGTAGATCGAGAGCAGTAGTCTCGTAACCGGGGGGTCTCGGGTTCAAAACCTGGTTAATGCGCAAGTGCCCTTTGTTTATGATGTATTTATTGGAGAAATTGATTATATCGGGGTGTTTTATGAAATGAATAGGTTACTGTATATATTTAAAGATATTTGATTGATGTCATTTCAGGGTTAAAGGGCCTCGGGCTGTTTGCTTTAAATGAGTTATACCTGCTGGCTCAGATCTGTGTGTAATACCATTCAGGCGAACGAATGGATAGATCACCACCCCCCCCCCCCTTAACAATAGGTATCAATTGCATGTCTACGCCACTGGATATACACGTACATGTATATGCACATGGTAAAATTTGTGATGAAGTGTAGTACTTAAGTGCTAATATTGCCTTAAATTCATGCCATGGTTCGACGCAATTTTGTTGCTCTCTCATTCTTTCTCACTCTTTATCTGTCTTGAATAATATGCCTGTTTTTTTGTTCTTGTCTAAGTCTCTCCCTTCTCTCATCCAGGCGTGGATCCAGGATTTCTTAGGGGGGCCCAAATTTGAAATTATGCGAGCCAAATATTGGTACGTAATGGTTACACCGGCAGCGCTAAAAATGTTTGGGGGGAGGGGGTAGACAAAAAAAAAAAAAATCCCCATCACCCCACTCTTACATGCAGGCCCCGCTGAACGTTTCTCGGAGGGGGTCAAGGGGTGGAGCCCCCAGAAGCTCAGGGGGTATAGGTATTTAATTACTGTCAGATGAGCATATTTTGATACCTTATTTGTGACACTGGCTGGACACAAAATGGTGTTGGGTCCAGGGGGCGAAACCCTCAGAAGCTCAGGGGTTTTAAGCATTACATTACCGTCAGATTAGCATATTTTATACCTTATTTGTGACACTGGCAGGTCACGAATGGGTGTGGGGTCCTGGGGGCGGAGCCCCCGGAAGCTCAGGTGTTTTGGGCAATAAATTACGGTCAGATGAGCATATGACACTGGCAGGTCAAGAATTGGCGTAGGGTCCAGGAGGCGGAGCACCCGGAAGCTCAGGGGTGTTATGCAATAGATTACGGTCAGATGAGCATCCAGGTGCCTGACTTGGGCCCTAGGTGAAATCCAGGGGGCAGAGCCCCCGGAAGGTCAGGGTTTTTAAGGCATTTAATCACGGTCAGATGAGCAAAAAAAAATTGGCCCCGGAAATTAGAAAATTAGGTCGTCAGATATTTCGTTCAATTGTTTAGGAGGGGGGAAGGAATACTTTTGTTGGGGTTGCCTGTGTAAAAAAAAGTTTAAAGAAAGAAAATAAACTGAGGGCACTGGCAGGTCACGAATGGGTGTGGGGTCCTGGGGGCGGAGCCCCCGGAAGCTCAGGTGTTTTGGGCAATAAATTACGGTCAGATGAGCATATGACACTGGCAGGTCAAGAATTGGCGTAGGGTCCAGGAGGCGGAGCACCCGGAAGCTCAGGGGTGTTATGCAATAGATTACGGTCAGATGAGCATTAAGGTGCCTGACTTGGGCCCTAGGTGAAATCCAGGGGGCAGAGCCCCCGGAAGGTCAGGGTTTTTAAGGCATTTAATCACGGTCAGATGAGCAAAAAAAATTGGCCCCGGAAATTAGAAAATTAGGTCGTCAGATATTTCGTTTAATTGTTTAGGAGGGGGGAAGGAACACTTTTGTTGGGGTTGCCTGTGTAAAAAAAAGTTTAAAGAAAGAAAATAAACTGTTTTTCCATGTAAAATTTGGAATAAATAAAACTTCACTAACTTCAATTTACTACACACAAAAAAAGGGGGGCGGGCCCCCGGGCCCCCCTGGATCCGCCACTGCCCTCATCTCGCTCCCTTTCTAACTCCTTCCTTTCCTTTCCTCCCTCCTTCACTTCCTTCTTTCTTTTTTCTTTCTCTTTCTACCCCTCTTTCTCTCCCTCCCCCCTCTCTCTCTCTGTCTCTCTTTCTATTATTCCTTCTCACTATCAATCACTATTTCACAGGTTCAAGAGGAAATAGCCTCATTGTCATCTTGTCTACGCCAGAGAAAACCTCACATCAAGAAAATGCTCTCGCAAATAATTCGCCTTACTCGACGAGCTACAGTATAAATAGAGATGTAATATACAATCATATTGTATAAATGTTATGAATTAAGAATCCAAGTAAATGGACAACTATATCATGACACCATGACACCTCCACACATAATTTTTTTAAAGGATTAAATTTACTCAATACCTCAAAATGGAATGGAAAACAAACTGTTAGTGGATTTTATACTTTCCATTATTACTTGAATAAATGAAACGACAAATGAAACACTCAAATGTTATGTTTTGCGAGATACACTGAGCAATTTGAATTGAATATAGTATCAACTTTATGATATATTATTAACCAACATTATTTTTGTCGGATCGACATGTACAACAAACTGAGATGTAGCCCTTTCAAAAAGAAAATTGAACTATTCAATTCCGTCATTTTTAAACTTTGGTATGCGAAATATGAACTTGTACTGTTGTGAATGACAATGACAATATTTCATTTTAAAATCAAATATTATATATTTTTTATGAAGTTGAATTTTGAATAAAGAGAAATCAATATACCAAAACAGTTTTAACAAAAAGTATTTTTTTAATTGTGAGGAAGACAAAAGAATTGCTTGAAATTGAGCATTTGTTTATTCATGATGTATATATTAAAGACAGAGTCATGAAAATCAAATGTCATATGTGCAATAGAGAAGAAAGAATAAATGAGAAAGAAAAAGAGACATTGAAAGAAGAGAGAAAGAGTGAGAGTGGGAGGAAATAAAGAGATGAGATCTTTACAGGACTCACTTACCCAAAGCATCACGAAATTAAATATTTGGATACATTTAAAGCTTTTTAAAGAAATGAAGCAAACATATATTTACCATCAATACCCTCACCTCATCTTAAAATGTAGGCATTAAGAATGGCATTATTAGTACTATGTATAAACTATGCGTAAAGTAAAAGTAGCGAAATTTATACAAGGCATATGAATATAGGTATTTTATCGTGGCTATACACGCTTAAACACAACATTTTTACATATAGATTTTGTTGCTTAACACGCTTAACCCTTGTACTTTTAATACACTAAATATTAATTTTATAATATACCAAAATAGCCAGTATTTATTAATTTAGATGTACCTTTCAAAACATTGTTTTGTTTAGTCATTTCATTTTGGAACTATGGCTTACAATAAAAAAATATACAGCAAAATATATACTAAAATATGGCGAGCCTAAAACACAACCACCCTAAATTTACTGATTTTCACGCGTTTCTTCAATGTTTAAGGTACATGTTTGGTCATTAGATTACTGTTATGATCCAATTACAGTTATGTTTCCTTAAATGAAATTTATGAATAAAAATGTGATTATTATCGGCACATTAAAGATAAACTTTAGTACTGGTAATGCGATTGCATTGTGAAAGACAAGGTGTGGAAAGGATCAGAAACAGTTGATCATGTAGCATGTAAGTATTGGTGTGCACTGCAAGGTTCTGGAGTCATCAAAATCATAATAAATTTGACCGAGTCTTGGTAAAGTAACAAGCACTGTACACATAAAGCTATATATGGGACAACACACATGGTGTCGGGGCTAGTACTACCTTGATTTCCTTGTCTTTCTATGCTCATTACTCAGCCAGTATACATTTTCTTCCAAAATTGTTTGGCACATGTCATTTATTTGTAATCTTGAACATTCAGTGTAAGTTTCGTTTGATTCTGTGAGATTTTTTTTTTTTTTTTTTTACCAGAACTGGAGTTTATCTTTAATCGTTGATTCACTTATTTCTGATCGAAAGGATTTTATATTAAACCTTGTTCGATCCAAGACGTTGTCTCAGATATCCATTTATATTTACTAGTAAATTTTATTTGCAAAGAAATCATCACAATGCAATGTGTAGTGCAATAGCTACCCAACTATACTTGATTTGTTTTCATGTCCTCACCGTCGTTTTATCAATATAAATATGTGTCTATGTATGTAAAAACGCATGATATTTTCTCAAAAAATCATCGGGGAAAAAAAACTATTTTAAACCAAAGAAGCATGTTTTAAAACTGCGAAATTCACAGTCCCTCAATTTCGATCCCACACCGCCGGGCCCGGGCAACATGCCGTATCTAATCCCACCAGCATTCCAAAACTTGGTAAGTGGCGAAGGTGTTTGTGGGCGTCTCGCTGTGTGTGTCTGTGTGGGGATGATTTTTGCACTTCGAAAACGGCGAGATTGACCTTCCCATTCACATATTACTCTCATTGGAAAATTGAATTAAACTTGAATTAAGGATTGGATATGCACATATATGTGAAAAACGCCATTAGAGGGAGCATAACAGTTGGCCAGTCAAAACTCGGACCACACCCAGAAAATGAAGTACTTTCAGGGGAAGGCTGATTCGTTTCATCTGCTATGAACAAGGGCCTTGTTGTCAGTGTCATTTTAGTATGTATCTCATGGACTGGCGGGACTGGACTAGTTGCTGGTTCAATCCGGGGATATCTGTATTGGTCACATGACGTTTGGGTAATAGTGTCCGTCTCCTTGATATCATGAGAACAACATGACACAGGGATATCTACATGCAGGAGCCAAAACATTCGTCTATACACTGTTTGTGTATCATCGGTATCTTGACGATAAGGTATTTTGTAGCCATTTTGAAAACAATTCAGGGTTGAATTGCCATTTCCGGGTTTGGCATGACAGTGCACCTCGTACGTTTCCATCATACTTTCACTAGGCATCAAAAAGCAAACTGCTGGACCAGGAGGGATCAATATTAGGACCACTCTTTGCATTATACGATACTCAGGTGACACCCCTTGGATAAGAATCAACACAATGTATGTCCCCTGATCTTCGACAGACACAGATGCAATGTTGATTTCTACGGACATAGAACTGCCCTCTTCATAAAACTCCACCCTAAATCTTTCGGCCTGATCGGGTGACATCAGTCCTTCTGGGTCCAAAGTTCCATCGATGTAAAAAGGGCGATCTTTCTCCTCGAACTTGACGGTGTAGTACTTGGGCGCAGACTGCTGTTCGTTCCTGCATGCAAACGGAATAACCCCATCTGAGCCAACAGTAAGAGTTAAGGGTGAATCAGGTTCGGCGTTGACCGGGAGTGCTCCAACCAGCAGAACTTGAACACAGAAGACTATTGAAAGTTGGGTCATCAAAAGGTACGACAAATGCCCTCCAACCAGTCGCTTCTGCATAAGCGTAGATAAAGAAAAAGAACAAAAAAACAAACAAAAGAAATTAGATCTCTTGAGCATGTTTCATTGAAGAAAATCTTACGATTTTACTGCTTCATTGTTAAAGGTAAAGACCAGTTATGGTCATGCGATTGCATTGTGAAAGAAACGTGGAATCAATCAGAAAAGGTTGATCATCTAGCATCTAGCATCTGCAAGGTTCTGGAATCATCAAAATGATAAGAAATTTGGCCCATTCTTCGTAAAGTTACAAGCACTATACACAGAAAGATGTATATGGGACTACCCTATATCTCTCACAGTCCATGAGAGAAACAAATTTACCAAATATATGAATTAGTAGGCGGTTTCCCGGCAAATTTTGTATCATCATTTATTAGTCAAACATATTCTTTCACATGATTGGTAATGAGAGCTTCCATTTCATTTTTTGAAATTGGGGCGTTTCCAATACTGGTCTTTACCTTTAAAAAAATACATAAATCAATTTTTCAAGATTGAATTATAGGGAATCCATCCTTTAATAACGTGCTTCATTCTTAAACTATACAGAATTTAATTTTCAAGAAAAAATAATAGGGAATCCATTCTTTTATAAACGTGCTTCAGTGTGCGTACCCATCATGCAGTATATTCGACACACTGCAATCTCATACGGAATACCAATTATGTGTTTTATTATTATTTATTTTTTATAGCCTTGGGTTTCGCTCCCTCTTGGTTACCCCAATGCAAGGTATACAAATTGAATCATGTTTTTAGACAATCTAACCTTTTCAACAAATAAATGAAAGGGCAGAAATGGGACTAGACTCCACAAACATGTATTTATGACTGTATACATGGCATTACTTAGTATATGATTAGGACAATAACAAGAAACAAAATTTGGCTAAATTTCATAAATAATTTCCAACCATATCCGAAAAAAAACAATAAGTAGTATTCTTATCTGGTATGTAAACTTTGTAAAGGTACGGTAAAGGAAGTTTAATCATACCCCAAAGACGTTAAGAAACTTCATCTTGACTTTTCTCGTCTGTCTTGGACATTGCATTGGAATTTGCAGTCATTCTGTGAAACAATTATATGGCAAGTTAAGTTATCATTAAATGGTTATTAGATACATGAATTGAAATAAATATTTAGCAATTTTATTTTGCCCCAGGAACACTAAAAAGATATCTACAATGTTGGACGCTAAACGAGAGCAGCAGGAAACAATAGGAAAGATCTAGGCAAAGAAAATTAGTCTTTCTTCCAAGTATTCCAGCGTTCTTATTAGTTGAATAATTGCATATTTCAAATGCTTTTTATATTAAACGGAAGTTATTTCCTTTCACTGAGTACTTTGCCTCGAAAACGTTCTCCCTGTCATTTTTGTCAAAGTTGTGGCACCCCTGATAATGATCTCATTGTGAGAGATGAATAATGATGGACACGGCACTCAATTCAATTATTGTCATTGTCATGTATTATATTACGTTCCAAAACATTAAACAAATATCTTACAATAAAAACAAATTTTTACGTCAATGGGAACAAATTAGCCTAGATCCATGTGAGTGTACCACGTCTAAAATTCTTACGATCGTATTTAGAATGTAATTATTGCGAAGGTATATAGAAAGACGATTAAGTCATATTTGTAATCATACCCCTGTAAGCTGGACAGGTATAAAATAATCCAGGAATGGTTTTAAGTTTAATTGGCCTAATTATGATGTGATTCAAGAGTAAACTTAACAATATAATTAACTAAAAGTCAATAACTCTCTTCTTAAACAATGTTAAATCTGAGATGCATGGCCCTAAAAAAATCCTTGAGTGACCGGTGTTTCCATACTAATTTCCCCCCAATGGACGGTAGTGTTATGGGGTAATATAGCAAAAGTGAAAAAGGAAAACATGATAAATACTCTTCAAAATGGAGTAATGAATATGGTTGACATGTGTACACAATTTATGACGTTAAGAATGAAATGGTTGTTTAGCTTCCTGAGTTTTAAAGAACTCCAAGAAAAGAAAGGAAATGGATTATTTTGTTATAGTATTGGATTGAGAAACCAGGAGGGACTGATATTATTATTATTATAAAATGTAAATGTTTACCAAAATATTTGATTTCTTATAGAGGAAAAAATACCTGATATCTATTTTGATTTACTTTAAATGTGGTTTACAATAAAGCAACTAATTGCAAGGTCTTTCGCTTCTCTTCAGATTTGAGTAGACCGACAGTTTAGATGAGTTACATTTTCCATTTTATTAACAAAATACCACTCCCCCCATACAAAAATACAATGAAAAAAATAGGACTTTATATTCCATCCACTACCTTAGATTAACTTTTAACTTTTTCTATTTTGCTCATACTGAACACAACAGCCTCAAATTTACTGCTAAACAAGGCTCTATTGGCATGGAAGCAGTATGTAATACAGAGAAGAGCAAAGGCAGTATTGAAGCAAAGAGCCAAGAAGTCTCATCAGAGACGTGCTCTTCAGTTGTGTTGGAGTGAATGGAAAGGTGCCATGTACCAGCGTAGAGAGGAGGGTGAAGCAGAGGTGTTTGCTCTGCAGTACTGGGCAGAGAGTGTTACACAGAGGGTGAGTTGAAAAATCAAGATTCACCAATGTTTCAACATGACAAGGAAAAATATGTAGGATTTATTGAAATATATAAATAGGGAGAGTCCTGGATGGGCATACATTATAGTCACATGTACAGTATACTACATGTTACCAGGGATGTGTGAGTTTAACTCACAAGCCCTGATGTTACTGTAAAAGAGCGCTTTATACTTTGTCACTGAAAGCATATCAATAAAAGACTTTAAACTACAGAAATTGAATAAGCATTATCACTTTCATGTATCCAGTATTTCCAGAGCTGACAAATTGCATATTTCAAGGTAAACCAGATTTAAATGCCAGTCTATCCAACGAATATTCAACTTTAACCTAGTCTCAGTGAAGGTTCAGGAGCTATTCCATTTACCAACAAAGCAACTGCTGCATATATTGCATACATTGCTAATATATTTATTTTCTCCTCAAAATCATATTAAAAAAAGAGAAAATTATCATTTAGAAGGTTTCAAGACACTTTTTAGTTGCATACCAGTCACAAAGCTGTACACAAAATTGACACTAAACCAAAAAACGTGGTTACACATTGCTCTTTCGAAGCTAATGGCATTTGTATTTACATATATTTTCTTTACTAAGGATTATTGATTATCATTGTTTACCTCAGGCATGGAATGCATGGAAGAGAAGATGGACAGAGAGGCAGGAGATAAAGAAGAATGAAATGCTTGCTCGACACCACCATGAGAAGACACTGGTATCTCAATGTTACTACCAAGGCTTTCTATTGTACACTCATCACACTTTTTTTGGGGGGGGGGGCATGGGAAAATCTTTGGGATGTTTTGACTAGACACAAAGAATTCCAGTATGTCGTATACTTGCAAAGTCTTATTGTAGAGAATATTTTGTTGAACTGTGTCGATTTCATTTTAATACTCAGTGATTGGTGCATGGTTTAAATTCAAAGGATATTTTGTGAATACAGGCCTAGGATGTGAGGAGCACTATTTTTTCATGTATTTTCTCTTGTTATTTTGAACTTTGACCCCATGTACCATGTTTTCATTTTAATTTCTTTTGTAGCACAAGCTCGCCAGGTCTATTCCGACAGACTCATGACCCATGCCTGGCAGCACTGGAACCAGAGGTGGTTTACACGTTGGTCCCTGGCACAGCGCCAGGAACAGGTTGACCGTCTTTGAAACCAGGCCAGAATGAGAAGGGTTCTAACCCACTGGAGATTCTGTATCCTTTATCTGATATTACTTATTGTTTCTTTTAAAGCCCCACAACACTACTTATAGCTACTTGCGCCTTCTATATAGCACACAATGCTTTTAAAGCGGTGACCATTGTTCCCACATGGTCCCCTTTAATTTGAGAAATGATTTGATGAGATAACCACCTGTCAGTGACTATGCAGGGAGGTCTACTCCTTCCTGGCCAAACTAGTGCAGATAGGCTTAAAGCATTTTACGAGTTACAACCGACCAAAACAGCAGTTTTAACTCTGCCACAACCCATTTTTTAGCTGTCAATTCTGATTAGGTAAGGACAAAATCACTTTAGACTTGATCTCCAGATTTATCTCCATGATAGACTCTGTCACTGCCGTTTTTGACTGCTTGAGATATTTTAAAGATGATGGTAGTCATATCCGTATCATCATGTTTCACTCGTTCTCCCTTTCTCCCTATCTATCTCTCTCTCTCTCTCTATCTCATATCATTGTATATTTCTCATTTTCATGACATCTCTCACCATTAGAATAGGAGGCCTCACACTGTGTGACGCTATGTCAGGTTTACATTCTGCAAAAGGGGCGTATCACTTGCACCCGTTGGGTTGTGACCTGCTTTCTTGACCTTGTCTGTCAGGGTGGGCCTAGCATTGTGAGCTTTAAGGTCTGGTTGTTGTTTGTCTGACAAGATCAGCGCCATCTTTTACGAACAGTGCGATGTTATCAGACAAAGTTCAACAGTTATGTTCCTTGGGTGAAGTTGATACTTTCTTTCTCTTGGTCTTTCGATATCTTAGTATTTTCAAATATAGTAGAGGTTCATTTTTGCACATAGTTGTTGCGCATATTTAGAGAGGGTTTTCTACCAGAGTCCATACATGTACTATTAATACATGACCATTCCATTCATCCTTAAAAAGCTTTTATGTCTAATATGGATTCCTTAATTAACATTCATAGGTATTCACCTAGTGCATGTTGACAGGAGGAAAGAATCTGTAGCAAGAAAACATCACAACACACAGCTCAAGGTACATCACAAGACTTAATTTTTTGACAGCCATAATACTGAAGAAACTGTTATTTTTCAACGAGAGGGTTTATCTTTGTGAATTGCCGCAGGGTCTTGAATTTAGCAACATGCAAAAATGAACTGGTATAACAGGTATAATAATAATAATAATAATATAGAATATTTAGGAGCCTGTGTTTTTCAATATTTAGAAAACAACAATTTGCAAAATATTTTATTCCCTGTCATCCAAAAATATATCTGTATGCAAAAATATTGTCCCAAACAGTGATTCATTGCATGAAAATTGAGAAAATAAGATTGAGAAGTTTACAGATAAGTTTTTTTGTCTGGATATAATTGATTACAATGTAATCAGATTGTTGCAATGAGTACATCAATTTGTGCATTATAGAATGTGTATTGTATGTTTTCTCTTACTTTATATTTCACTAGAAACTAGGCCTGCTGATGTTGAGGCTTGCTGTGGTACAGAGTAGGGTGAAAGTGAGAAGAACAGAGCAAGCTATAGAGCTACATCAACAGATGGTAAGGTTATAACTCAATTTAGACCCTTTGGAAAGACATTAATCTACATTTGCCACACTCAACCCAAGTTATGTAAATGGGCCCGTACCTAGGAGGATTATTCCTTGAAATGCACTGTGTGCTAATTATGGCTGCCGGAGCTAAAGCTAGTCTAATAATTCTCAAAGCTCTTTGGAAGTGCATAGAGATGTTATTTCATAACATATGCGCTATACAAGAACTGAATATTATTATTATTATTATTAATTGATAAAAAAACTGATGTGTGAGAGTGATTTGCATGTAGGCTAATACAGCCACTGTATTCCCAGAATGTTGTTTGTGCTTCTGATATGCAGTCACAAAGAATACAACAAATAACATGAGGTATTTGAATATGTTAGGACAGTCATATTTGTAAATTTCATTTTCACACAATATTTCAGTTTGTAAAATTTCATGACTGGCAAAGTCTTGGGTTAGGAATTTTCTCATACATTTCAGATTTTGTATGAGTTTAACACTCCTTATTCCAGAGACCATTGCATCAGTTTGAAAGTCTGCGTAAGGAAATTAATTAGATGGATCTCATGTTTGTTGGAGAATTGTTATTTGGCGTAAAAAAAAAAATGTTGTATTGCCCTTTAGGTGCCAAAACATGGATCGGTCGGTTTTTTACTTTTTTTTTTTTACTCCCTTTTGTGGCTGATATTTCTCAGTTTATTTTTTCTAAAAAACGGTAAAAAAAAATTATAAATTAAAAAGCTGACCGTAGATTTCAAGATTTTTGGGTCGGTCGCAAAGGGCAATACAACATCTTTATTTTGTAGGCCTTATAATGGGTTGCCAAGTGATGTATCCTATACAATTATTCCCAAAAAAATTCTTGCATTACTTCGGTTTCTAGAGTGCCTGTTGATTTATCATGAAACGTAGCTTCATTTGTAACAACTGCTTCACTAATTCATGGAAAATAAAGGAGAAATTAAGTAATATAATGTGTTATCATTATCTCGCAGTTGGTGAAACGTTGTTGGAATCAGTGGATTCTACAGTGTGAACACAGGGAGGAGCTTAGACTCTTCTCAGCTACAAGGAAAGCAAGAAAAATGCACAGGTAAGAAACACTTATCTTATCATCCTCATTCTTCTCTTCAAGATTCAAGGTAATATATTATCTGATTTAAAAATACAGAAATTTGTCCTCCACTGGCAAGTGGCATACATATACAAGCAATGTGAACAATATATACATTCGGGGAGACAAAGAAAATACAACAATGATAATAATAACAATCATAGCAATAACAAAACTGACATGTAAATTTAAAACTTCTACCACCAAACAGCACTGTATTCCTATTTTTTCTTATTCTCTTCCTCCTGATTCTCCCTCCCCTTAAATACCTTCTGTAATCTGTACCTCCCCTGTTTTCAATCCTACATCTTCTTCTCATGCTTACAACATGGAAGACAACAAATTGAATTGGTAAAAACTTAATATACACCATCAGTTATTGGACCATATGGATGATTAATTATTGACAAATCTGTCCTATCTGATCAAATAAGGTTTATTTGACCTCTGTATATTGAAATACACTATTTCTTTTCATATCATTTTTGTCCCGCCTGCGTAGCAAAAAAGCGAGACATAGACGCCGCTTTTCCAATGGCGGCGGCGGCGACGGCGGCGGCGGCAGCGGTGGCGGCGTCAACATCAAAAACTTATTACCTAAGGTTAAGTTTTTGAATTGTTGATATAATTTTGAAAGTATAAGTTCTTAGTCAATGAAACTTGGACTATAGAGTTATCAAGTATCCCCAATTATGTGAGTAGAATTTCAGGTCACAAAGTCAAGGTCAAAGGTAATTTCAGGTCAACAGACTTGGACTATGTTGTGGCATCATCATCGAAAACTTAACCTAAGGTTAAGTTTTTGAATTTTTGATATAATTTTGAAAGTTTAAGTTCTTAGTCAATGAAACTTGGACTATAGAGTTATCAAGTATCCCCAATCATGTGAGTAGTATTTCATGTCACTAATTTAAGGTCAAAGGTCATTTTAGGTCAACAAACTTAGACTTGGTTGTGGCATCAACATCAAGATTTTAAATCTTTTAGCATATTTTCAAAATTGATTGTTCAAATTCCCTGAAACTTGTACCCAAGGGTTACCAAGTATCATAAATCACATGACACAAATTCCAGATCACAGAGTCAAATTCTAAGGTCATTTTAGGTCAGTAGACTTGGATTTTGTTTTAACAACTTGATATGAGATTTAATAAATCATTTTTTGTTATTTGTTCATATTTCATGAAAGTTATCAATCTTGGTAGAAATAATAGTAAATAATTTTTGGGATGATTCTTTTTAAATATTCACTTCAAAATGCTGATTATGTACAAAGGATTTCAATTTTGGGGGCCTGCTAATGGGCCACCCTGCCTATAAATAATGTCCCAACCTCAATTTTTCATCATATCGAATTGCGTAATGCAGGCGAGACCGCCGAGAGCGTTTCCCTTGTTGTTGTTTTTTCACCATCTTCCTCAATTTCTGTCATGTTGTCATTTATTCATAAATTTGTAGGCCCTAATGAAAATGAAAAAATATAGCAATAAAATAAAAAGTGAAATGTTTTTAGTTTCATCTCTTTTTATGTGATTTACCATTGACCCATTTGTCTTGCTGTTACTGTCCCTAGCAAAATATGCATTTAATTAATACATAAATATTTATGTGTATTTTTTCCTTCAGGAAACGCCTCCTCAACTCAGTGGTCCATCAATGGTGCAATTACGCCGTGTGGAGAAGGCATCGCAAGGTAAATTGTGCATGTTTGCTGTATATAATTAATATCCTGCATTGCATTAAGAACTAGGTGGCTTTGTTTTTAAGCCGAGAGAAATGAGAGAATTCAGTAGTCAATGAATTAATGTCATTCATTAATTTTCTGTAGTATTCAAGCAATGGAAGGGGTCTGCTCATTTTCAGTGCTGGACCAGATTAATATATTTGATTGTTGGATTTTTGTTTCATAAATTAAAGGGTAGTCACAATATATATTTTTTATCAGATTCAGGGCCTCACATGAAGTATTCAGTCAACAACTGAATTAAATTTGAGGTCATTTTGATGTATTTTTTCTGTTTTTACGTAACTCAATAATGAAAGGTGGACTTGTTGAATAAGTGCATTCATTGAATACTTTTAGATGTAAGTTTTAACCCTATCTTAACTGGGCTATTTCACTGCCGATCGCCGCGAAAATTTGCATACATGTCAAGTAAAGTGTATAGAATACTATGGTAATTTCCATTTTTTGAAAAATTCACTCATTTGCATATTTATGGTAATTTATGCAAATAAGGTCATAAAATTCACAATTTTGCCTATAAATCAGACATTATTCATATTTAAGCATTCTTTTTCACTACATATATTTGTTAGACCATTTGGAATAATAATACAACACAAAAAATTGGAAGATCCAGGTTATTCCTTATGTTTCTCTTGTTTTGATAATTTCTTATGTATTTCATTGTTTTTTAACTTATGTATTTTATTGTTTTTGTTGTTTTGTTGTTTTATTTCATTTATAACTACAATTCAACTATTTTGACCCCAAAACAAACACCTAAACTTTAAACAAGACTAAATAACCAATGTTTTATCTCTTTTTAGGAAATATGACATTTCCATATGTTTTGTACACAAATCACAAAAATGAGCGATTTTCGGGTTGACGTGCGAAGACAAAAGGTCACGTGACTTTGTAACTATACGTCCGATTTTCGAAAAAATTGTTTTAAAAGATGCGTAAGACTCAAAAGAAAAAAGTCATGAAAGGAAAATTTTATATTTTATGTCAGCGACCCTTCCACCCACCCCTACAATAATTACTCTCAGTATCACTCGGTAAGTAGACCCCCCCCCCCCCCCCCAGTTAGCGTAGGGTTAATATGTCACATTCTTAAGAAACATAAATCGGGACAAATCAATTTTCTACATACTTAACAAATTACAAAACTTAGTAAGTACATATGTAGTAAGGGTATGAATAATTGTTAACTTTACATGTTTCAGTACGCACCAACATGTCCCAGATGACCTACATGAGGGCAAATAAAGAAGCTGCCAACTCACAAGTGACAGGAGAGGTCCAATAATAAAGAGTATTACTATAAAGGAAAAATTTAGGTAATATATTATCCTTTGAAAATTTGAGTCTGTATGTATTCCATATGCTAAATGCTGTTGGATTGTTTTTTATATACAGGAACAATATGCCCGAGCAGATGATTATTATGCCAGAAGAAACCTGCTCCCTAGATGCATCCAGAGACTGAGACTCAATGCTGAGTTGGAGAAGAAGAAGAGGGTACTCCAAGCACAAGCAGCTGAATTCTACCGGTGAGTTTTAATATAAGTCTCATGTTTTGTTCAGATTTGCTTTTTTAAAAACAATATCTGAATGAAATTTGAGCTAATATTGAGCTTCATAGGTGTGGTATTTGCATTTACCAGCTCCATATCCTAACAATGTGGTTATACCTCTGTGTGATAAAATCATGATTTTCGACAATTATGCAGTATGCGTTCTGGATGCTTTTTTTGTGGTACTATACATTTAGCTATTAAAGCTACCTAACATGTAACAAAATAGTCCATGTTTCTGATATTTTTACCTCCTCTGTGGCTGTTAATCCTCTTCTAACAGCGCTTATTATTTTAGGGGGAATTATTTTTGCGTTTTGTTTTATTAAGTTCATTCAATTCAATTCATTTGATGTTCAATTATACAGCATGTAAGTATGATAACATTTATATAGTGGCATTATGTAATGATTTTAAGAACAGGTGCATGTGTACACTGTATGTTTCTGGTCTTGTGTTACATTTGTCAACATGTTCTGAAATTAATTATGTATTTTTGGGAGAAAGAAAAAAAATGAGGCTTAATACCGCATCACAGCTCGGGCAGTTGACCCGACTTAAGCAAGTAAGCAAGCAATACCGTTAACTGTAATGTTGAATGTCAAAAACTGTGAGTTGATCTTTATCATTGAATGCTGTGTATTACAGGGAAGGTCAGCTAGGACGGTGCTTCTATCGTTGGTGTCATTCTTTTCAGTTGAGTCAAGATATCAGGATGATGGAGAGAATGGTAAGTAGGAACACTGGCATCGCTGAATTATTCCTTGTTTTTTGCTCTGTCTTGAATGGATATTGGAAACAGGGTCAAAATGAACAGCTGATTGAGAATTTTCCATGTATAATATATACTGTTCTGTATTAAATTCATAATTGTAATGTTGGTCTTTACCTAGAAATAGAAGTTAGGGGATGGTATTGCTTTAACAAAAATAACTGTGGTTGGACTGTTGAATAGCTTTGGATTTCTTAACTGATATAAACATTCTCTGAAACTTTGTATCGCAACATAGCCAACACTCAATATTTAAAAAAATATATGAGGTGGTGTGACTGGGTCACCTTGAAAAGGATAACAAATTATATTCTTTGTGATATTCTTGTGCTAAAAATATGATTCTAGCTGACCTGTACTTAGTAACTTTATTACATTGCATGTTCTGTTTAATTGACTTCACTCTACAGGCTTTCCTACACCATGAGAGCATACTGGGTAAGAGGTTCTTTACAGAGTGGATGGAGAGGACAAGGTCGAAGCTGAAGGAGTCAGAAAAGATGGTATGAATCCAGGAACTATTATACAACTAAATTCTATCCCATGTTTTTTCATGAAAAAGCGTGCAATAGTTTCCAGTTCTATCACACTTTTTTTTCAGTGCGTGTACATGATGCGCAGAAGTGCGTGTAGAGGTTTTAGGTCGCGTATACTACGTGTGGGCCTATTCTTGCGCAGCACTATGCGTAAATGCGTATAGAGATAAGTGCGCTCATCTATGTGTGCGCACTAAATTAAGCCTTGAGATTTATTCGTCAGCCATACTGTCACGAAACAATCTTGAATGAAATCTTTTTACATCAAATAACAAGGATCTAGGAGTTTTGTCACATCAAACAAATGATGCATGTTTTCATTCGTTCATTATACAATCTATCTGCCCTCGTTAATGCTGTGTGTATCTATCGCACTCAGCGATAGAACTCGTGCGCATGCATCATTTGTATACTAATCACTTTACCCATGAATGCTTAGCTCTAATCTTGTTCTGTAGCAAATACTCATGTGACAGGACATCCACAGGATTGGCATTCATCACAACAATGAAATACATCATATTCCAGTGTAATTGTGAGATGAAGACATCTTCTATAATATACTCATTTGAAATCTACTTCATAAAGATGAGACAGGAGTTACAGAAATAAGAGAAAAATAACTTTACTTTCACATGGTCCTAGTTAAACATGAGCACCTGTATATACCCCAGCACTTTTAATTGTTTTAACCCCAACTGCACTAGTTGTAGCTACTTGCGCCCTCTATATAGCAAACAATGCCTAATTGGTGCCTGTTGGTCCCCCATGATCCCCTTTCTCTTATGTCAATTGAGAGCTGATTTGATGAGATATCCACCTGTCAGTGACCTTGTAGGAAGGTCTTACCCCCCCCCCCGGCCAAACTAGTGCAGACAGGCTTTAATTGAATTGTTACCATGAAATGAAATTACAGCGCTTAGATTTGCTCATAAATGTAGACCTATGCACAATTGTGCCTTTACAATATGCTCTGTCTTCAGAGATTTCTAATTGGTAAGGTGTGCTGAAAATCTGTACTTTACTACATGGTCATATTTAAAGGTGTTATCATCACACTGTATGTTATCTGTTCTGTGTAGTATCAAGCCATTGACCATCATCACCTATCCCTGTGTACTAAAGTTCTCGGCAGTCCTCCACGGATAACGAGTGCACTCCGGTAGACGGAGGGAAAATGTGTTTAATGTGCATTTTCCCTGCAAAAAAATCTACTGTGGTACCTTTTTCGAATAAAACATGGTCACGTTTTTTATAATTCGTTGACATATGGAAGGATCTAGTAGAATGATTATGACTGTGGCCATGGTGAAATGCCGATTCCCGTCGATGCAGGGTTTCATCAAATGTGTTGTGCCAGATTTTACCGACAAGCAAAGCCAAAGGATAGAGAGCGTGACAAACAATATGAAAAAGAGATAGAGAGAGAGAGAGCAACTTTGGGCTAGTAGGCCTAGTGGTAAGTAAGAAATAGATTATCTACAGTTATATTTTGAAATATTCATGTAATTTTGGCCTAAAATTAGTAAAAATGTAACTAAAAATAAAATAATGCTTTTAGTGGCGCTAGTTCAGAAGTCTAGATCTAGTCTAGAGCAGTAGAGGGTCAATCCAAAATTTGACCCGTAACTTCGGCGAGGAGTTGAGCCAAAACATACCCAAAACATACCCAAAACATACCCAAAATGAAGTAAATATTCATCAAAATTCCAAATAAAGATCATGAGTTAAAAGTTGTTATGTTTATTACCTGTTTCGTGTCAATTTTCTTGTTATTTTTGGAGTATTTTTCGGGAAAACGTTGGTATAAGTAGATCTAGGCCTACATGTGTACACTTTTTCACAGGTTTTACGGCAAACTGCTGCACATTACAAGTGCAACTGATGGTGGGTTGCAGGCAAGCGCGCGCCTGTGTGAAGTTATCTACTGTAATAAGGATCTGAGAGTACGGTAGATAACTTTTATGTAAACGTGTGAAAAATTCTAATTTGTTTTCCTGTTGTCTCTTTTCTTTTGTTTAGCATCTACTACCCTGGTCAACCAGCCAACACCATAGACATTCTAGATGAAGACAATTAGGCCTAAAGACAATAAGGGCAGTCATCAACCCTTCAAAAAAACGTAGACTAGCATGGGTATGTGTAGACCAAAAGGGGTGACAAGCAAGATCGAAGAATGTACTACCAAGCATATGTGTCTTTTGTAAAAAGGACAAGACTATCACTTGCAGAGTATCCATAAAATGAAGAAAAGAAGGGCTGATCAAATGCTTAACCATAGAAGCAGCACATTTACTGCAGGCGGACAAAGACAACAAGAATATGGGACTTCTTCTGGGGACTTCTTCTTCAAATCCAAGACAAGGACTGAGTGGCAATCAAAGTCCAATATCATGCCTCCTGTTATAAGGATTTTACTCGGTATTTAAGCAAGCCATCAATCACTTAAGCCATTACCACAGAAGACTCAAAGTACTCTGAAGCATACACCATATTTTGCTCTACTGTCAAAAAACCAAAATAATCGATATCAAGGAAAAATGCAAGCTGTTTATTAAGCAGATGAAGAAAACTCATGATATTGGTGCCAGTACATACATGTACAAGACAGGCAACTTGAAGTCACACCTCATGAAAACCTTTCCCCAGTTGTGCTTTCTTCAACCACACATGGGGAGTCAAGGTCATCTTGTGTATGTGAATGACATATCTAGAGAAGTGTTGGTGGAGGATAGGAAGTTGCTTCATGAAGTAGTGCATACTGTAGCACAACTGACATATCAGAAACGACGTCAACATATGTAGCTGCTTAGCGAACTCTATCCCATGGACAGATTTGTGCTACTAGGATCAGGATGAACTGCTCCAACATTGGTGGTCAACATGATATCAAGGATGAAGATGGAGAGTGTTGAATCAGACATTGAAGAGGACTGATCATCAGGTACCCGAGTGCCATTTGTAGCTGCTTAGAGAACGCTATCCCAAGTATGGAATTGTGTAAACGTTTCTTCATATTTTGTTTAGATATCGGCTTTCTCATTTGTGTACCGGTAATACAAAAGTGGTACACTGCAGGCGCGGATCCAGGATTTTCCAATAGGGGGGGGGGGGGAAATTTGAAAATTGCGCAGACCGTTTTTTTTTCTCAACTCAACATACCAATACTGACAAGATCATACTAGAAGCACCATATCGGTACAATTTTTGACATTTTCATCGGGGGGGGGGGGGGGGGGGGGGGGGGGGGGGGGCTATATGGCCTATTGCCCGAAAAAGTAATTTTCTAGCTGGTTTCACAATTCGGCTAGACGGTGAGCGAAGCGAGCGAGCAAAAATTTGAGCATAATATGTATTTTGTGAAAGTGTTATTTATCACCAAAATAACTGAGAAAAGATATCAAAAAACTTGGGCAGTTCGCTGTCCCCCCCCCCCCCCCCCATTACGCGCGAAGCGCAGAAGCTTTGACGTTACATGAAATTATTAGAGAAAGAAGAGGATTAGTTGTACCATTTTCTACTCTTAATCCTTGTCTGAAATCAGTTCCACCCCCTCCCACGCAAAGCGCGGAAGCTTTGACCTTTCATAGTTTAATGAAATTACTAGAGAAAGAAGATGATTCGTTGTTCTCGACTCTTAATCCTTCTCTGAATTCAGTCCCCCCCCCCCCGCAAAAAGCGCAGAAGCTTAACGTTTCATTAAATTATTAGAGAAATAAGATGATTCGTTGTTCCATTCTCGACTCTTAATCATTGTCTGAATTTAGTTTCCCCCCTCCCTCCCGCCAAGCTTTGACGTTTCATTAAATTATTAGAGAAAGAAGACGATTCGTTGTACCATTCTCGAATCTTAATCCTTGTTCAGATGCAGTTTTCCCCCTCCCGCGCGAAGCGTGGAAGCTTTGATGTTTCTTAATAAATTATTAGAGAAAGAAGAGAAACGTTGTACCCTTCTTGACTCTTAATCCTTGTCTGAATTCAGTTTCCACACGCCCGCGCGAAGCGCGGAAGCTTTGACCTTTCATTCATTATTAGAGAAAGAAAACAAACGATATGTTGTACCATTCTCGACTCTTAATACTTGACTAAATTCAGTTCCCCCCGCCTTCCGCGCGAAGCACGGAAGCTTTGGCCTTGCATAGTTTAATTATTCGAGAAAGAAGATGATTCGTTGTTTCATTCTCGACTCTTAATCCTTGTCTGAATTCAGTTTCCTCCTTCCCGCGCTTTGCGCGGAAGCTTAACGTTTCATTAAATTATTAGAGAAGGAAGACGATTCGTTGTACCATTCTCGTCTCTTAATCCTTGTTTGAATTCAGTTTTCCCCCTCCCGCGTGAAGCGCGGAAGCGTTGACGTTTCATTAAATTATCAGAGAAAGAAGATGATTTGTTGTTCCATTCTCGAATCTAAATCTTTGTCTGAATTCAGTTTTCCCGCGCGTAGCGCGTAAGCTTCTGACCCTTCATTATATTATTAGAGAAATAAGACGATTCGTGTATCATTCTTGTCTCTTAATCCTTGTTTGAATTCAGTTTCCCCCCTCCCGCGCGAAGCGCGGAAGCGTCGACGTTTCATTAAATTATCAGAGAAAGAAAATGATTCGTTGTTCCATTCTCGACTCTAAATCTTTGTCTGAATTCAGTTTTCCCCCTCCCGCGCGAAGCGTTAACGTTTCATTAAATTATCAGAGAAAGAAGATGATTCGTTGTTCTATTCTCGACTCTAAATCTTGTCTGAATTCAGTTTTCCGCCTCCCGCGCGTAGCGCGTAAGCTTCTGACGCTTCATTAAATTATTAGAAAAAGAAGACGATTCGTTGTATCATTCTCGACTTTTAATCCTTGTCTGAATTCAGTTTTCCCCCTCCCGCGCGAAGAGCGGAAGCGTTGACGTTTCATTAAATTATTAAAGAAGATGATTCGTTGTTCCATTCTCGACTCTAAATCTTTGTCTGAACTCAGTTTTCCCCCGCCCGCGCGTAGTGCGTAAGCTTCTGGCGCTTCATTAAATTATTAGAGAAAGAAGACGATTCGTTGTATCATTCCCGTCTCTTAATCCTTGTTTGAATTCAGTTTTCCCCCTCCCGCGCGAAGCGCGGAAGCGTCGACGTTTCATTAAATTATCAGAGAAAGAAGATGATTCTTTGTTCCATTCTCGACTCTAAATCTTTGTCTGAATTCAGTTTTCCCCCTCCCGCGCGAAGCGTTGACGTTTCATTAATTATCAGAGAAAGAAGATGATTCGTTGTTCCATTCTCGACTCTAAATCTTTGTCTGAATTCAGTTTTCCCCCCTCCCGCGCGAAGCGCGGAAGCATTGACGTTTCATACAATTATCAGAGAAAGAAGATGATTCGTTGTTCCATTCTCGAATCTAAATCTTGTCTGAATTCAGTTTTCCCCCGCCCGCGCGTAGCGCGTAAGCTCCTGACGCTTCATTAAAATATTAGAGAAAGAAGACGATTCGTTGTATCATTCTCGACTCTTAATCCTTGTCTGAATTCAGTTGCCCCCCTCCCGATCGAAGCGCGGAAGCTTTGACATTTCATTAAATTCTTAGAGAAAGAAGACGATTCGTTGTACCGTAATTCTCGACTTGTCAAATTTTCAAAAATGTTTCTTTGTCTGCTCCTTTTTCGTCCTATGTCCTCTGACTGCCCCTACCGCCCCTGGCTACGCGCTTGCTTTAAAGGGAAAATGAAACAATCATGATTGTGAAAGCACACAATTAGGTTAATAGAAATGAAAGGAAAAAAAGATCTATTACACCAACCATGGATAAATCACGGCCGGGAGCGTAATATCATAGTTTTGTGTTATCGGGCGAGAGCCGGGGCGTAGCGACCAAGCGAGATTTTGCAATGTTGAAATTATGCATTCTAGAAAATCCCTAAGGACAGTATGTACGTTCTTTCCGCTATATTTCTTTCTAGCTATATTTCTGAATTTCTTGGGGGACGTGTCCCCCTATCGGGCCCAGGATTGCCGCCCCTGTCCATGATTACTACCAACAGGAGTTCAATTACAAGCACAAGCGAGTTGGTATGAGCTGAATCCAAATGAAGGGCAAAATAAGAGTTGTGAAGCGGCCCTATCGTTAATTTAAAATTTGACTATTGAGTATATAGCTTCTATTTAAAAGACATCCAAAATATTGTGCCCTTTTCAAATTTCTCACTAAAGAGTGATGAACTTTGTAGCGCAAGAGCTGTTTATAACTTTTAACTTTGAATCCGAGGCTCGAGATTTTATGCGGCCGGCCCGGCCCCCTCTATTCAATAACGTTTGCCAAGCCTTCTGGAATGACCCCAAATCTCCCGAATACAGTTTTTCCCTTATTCGTCGTTACTGTAAATTAGCGCTATTTCCTTGTACTTCCCCCTTTTTCACCCGAATTTTCTCTCCCCCCCCCCCCCACCAACTCATTGTTATCTAGGGTACGCGCATGTATGTTCCCTCTCTTTGAAAGCACCCCTCTATGCACCCCGGTGTGTAAAGTCAGTACGGGCCGGATTTGTGTGTATTACGGGCCGGACTTTATTGCGTGAAAAGTAACTCTTTATAGGAGATTTTTGGAACACAAATTCGGACCCTCCGACTCCGGAGTGGGAGGGAGGGGGGGGGGCGGGGTTCTTCTTTTTCTTTTCTCCTTTTTTTTCTCTCTCTCTGTTTCTTTTCTCTTCTCTTTTCTTTTCTCCTCCCCTTTCTTTTCTCTTCTCCTTTTTTTTCTTCTCTTCTCCTTTTTTTCTTCTCTTCTCCTTTCTTTTTTCTCTTCTTTTCTTCCTCTTTTTTTCCCCTTTTTTTTGCGCCGCCAATAGGGGGGGGGGGGCGGCCGTTTCGGCCCCCCCCCCTGGATCCGCCACTGCACTGTAACAAAATATATAAAGAACTTGAGCAGAAAAATTGCTACATGATGACACGCCTCAATCTGTATCTAAATGTCTAGGCACTCAGCTTATTTCATTCATATGCAGGTGTCCATGTGACCATAATTCCATTTATTCAAGTGTGTTAAGAAAAAGAATAGGATAACGTTCTATAGTTATTAGTACATATCTGAATATTTGAATACCGTATTCATTATTTTGATGCGTTTCTGGTCAAGTTCTTGCATACAGTTTTTTATAAAGTTTTCCCAACATTTTGTTTGCATCTTTCCTGTAGATATGTAGTTTATATATCATAAAGTTAGAGAAAGAACTTGTCTAGCAACTTAGCAAGATATTCCACATTTTCATTCACCTTTAAGTTTTGTGGATAGCAAGGCGTAAAAGTATTGTTATTGCTGATCATTAAGGAAGCTGGACAATTTTAGCCGGTCAATTTTATTTCTTTGACCTGTCCTAGAAAATCAATAGTCATCATGTTTACAATTACAGTGAAAACTGTTTTTAGCAAGATCATTGGGACCAGGAAATTTTGCTTGTTAAAGCAGGTACATTATTATATTACATCAGTAGCCAATATAAACAAATATAAGAGAAATCATATTGGGACTGACAAAAGTAGAACTTTTGTTATCAGTGTCGTAATGAGCATAAATGAGCGGGGGGGGGGGGAGTGAAGGAAAATTTAAAAAAAACCTGGAAAATCATGTCTTTTCAGCAACATTTGTAAATTACTGGTATCGAATTAGAAATGAACCATGTGTGAAATTTATTTGCCCCCCCCCCCTATCAGTATACAAGTGTTTGTTATAAATATATTTATACAGTTTCCACTGTAGTAGAACTCAGTCAACTCACATACATGTCCAACTCACCAACTGTAAGAAAATACATGTTTTGTAAAAGGAATTACCAGAGTATCGCCCTTTTTAATTTTTTTTTTTATAGATGTCGTCTTTTGTTTTTGTTTCTCTGTTTTGGTTGTTTCGCTGTTTTTTTTTTATTAACAAGGTACATTATTGGAATCTAATGCAATACTAGTACATGTATGTCCCAATAGAGGACTACCGGTAGTCAGTTTTATTTAAACTTTGCAGAACTATATGTTTACAATATATTGCTTTTTGCATCTTTTTGAAAGAAATTATAAATATCGATTGATGATACAAGCAATACAAGATAAAAAGATTTCTGTAACTCAGTAGATGCTTTTTACCTTTTTTGATATTGATTTTTCTAATAACATGCTGAATGGAAATATAAATACAGAATAGAAAAGAAATGTTCATGATATACTATCTCATAAATATGATATAATATTGATTTATAAAGTGCAGAAACTATGTTATTCTCCTGCCCTCCATGAGCTCCTGTTATAATTAAGGTATTATAAATATTTAAATGAAAAGGTGTGCATTGTAATTGTTAGTACATGATATTAGACCTGTTGGAAAATGATTATTTTGTTTTCCTTTACATTATTATCATCGATTTCATGTCTCACATGATCAAGTTACTCATATTCTGATGCTGCAGATTGTTTTCGATATTATAGAATTTGAATACAATGTCACATGTGTACATGTGTGGATACTTTAGTAATCTTGTTGAAACTACTGTTAGAGACAATATGTGTTAGAGACACTATGTTTAAAGGAGAGACTTTGAAAGAGAAAGAGAGAGAGAGAGAGAGAGAGAGAGAGAGAGGAGTGTGGGGGCTATGGAAAGATACAATGCGAAAGAGGGATGAAAGAGGGAAAACAATTAAAAAAAGATGTTGAGATGAGCGTGTATCGATGTAATAAAGGGGATAATAGTTGTTAATAATGATTATAATATCAATAGGAATGATTGCAATAATTATAATAATAATAAGATCACTATAATATATTCTTGATATTATCATTATTATATCATTTCCTTTATCATGTTCCATTATATTTTAGTGAAATAGAATTTGAGAAGTAATGTTACCCTGTATATAAAGTAGAAACATTTGCAGTAAAGCAAGGGGAAAATACATTTTGAGTGTCCCTCGAATAGGATGTAAATCATAGTTTACATTATACTTTATTTGAAGCTAGGTTTTCAACATGGATTTACATCATATTCTCCCTCACATATCAAAAAGAAGAGTTGAAAGAAACACCTTTTGTCTAATTTTCCATTTTTGGACTCAAGAGGGCGACAAACATAATTATAAAAAACCTTAAAATCATAATAACTCATTAATGTGCAAGAATTGAGCTTGTGAAAAAATATATGTTGTTTAGAGGGTCATACTACTTCATCAAACAAAAGGAAACAAAATCCCTAGATGGTGGACACGAAATCAAAGAAATAGACATATAAAACCTCTATGGCCTGCTGTCTAGTACTTTTATATTATTTTGATATGACGTTTCTTTTTACGATATGTAACAATTTAAAATGCCTTTTGTTACACATTAATAATATAGTTATTTTAAACAGTATTTTCTTTGTGAAATTTCCCCGTTTATAAAGAGACTTTAAATTTCTTAAATTTGGTTGTTGTTGCCTTTTCAGGAGTGAATTTGAGAGGATAGCTGCCCAGCATGATTATACACAAAGAGCCAGAAAGACATGGGACAAATGGAGAGAGGTATTAAAAAGATCTTGTTTAGTGTTTGGTTCAACAGTAATTTAAGGTCATACATAGTGCATCACATACAGAGTAAATTCTAAATTTGCAAAATGTTTCACTCACAAAAGCTTAGTTTTTCTGTGTGTGATTAAGATGTCTTATTCAGGAAAAATTATTACATCTTGGCAAGTTTTAAGTTTTGGGTGTATGAACATTTATTATGTAAAATGATACATGAAAGTTAATCTGCAATAAAAAATAGTTGAACCAAAATATTTATTTTGCTATCTGGGGCAGTTTACTAATCGATCTTCATGAAGGTAATAGCCAATTTAGATATTCAGTTTCCCTGAAAAAATAATTTATTATATTTCCAACTTAATGACTTCTTGCTTTCTTTTAGTTCCTTGCATATTGTTTGTGGTTTTTGACGCATATTCGCAACTATTCTTTGCATTTTTAATGTTTTTTCTTTTTTTCCTTCCCTTTATCAGTATGTTTCACATCGTAGATGCAAGGCAGTAAAGAAGAGCAGAGCTGATCTCTATCATCACAGAAAACAGATGAGAAAGGTCTTTACTGCGTGGAAGGTGAGGAACAAAGAGGGTCAAAGAGGGCCATAGGGATCACAAAGGGTCATGGGGGTCGCACATACAGTGTAGTCTTGTGGATCATAAAGGTGTATTATTTGTCATGATATTGATCACAAGGGCTACATAATGTATCAGTACCGGTCATCTAGTTAGGAGCATTGAAATGAGTCCTATTGTTGTTTCTAGTTTGTTTCTAACATTGATACTACTGTATGTTTGGGGTCTCATACAAGTATGATGCAATGTTTTTATCATTACTCAACATTACAGTGTACATGTAGTTGCTACATCGATTCCCACTTTTTTTTCTCACACAAAACTTGTAGTACTGTTTACAACTTAAATTATGATGATAATAATAATTTATATAGCTCATTTTCCATATACATTTTGTTCAAAAGCGCTTTACAGTTATGTTATTAACAGCTGAGGTGAGTTCTGAGATAATTTTTGAAGGTATTGAGAGATTGCTGGTTGTAAAGAAATATGGTAAGGTTATTTTGGGAATTGAATTGAATTTGTATTGAATACAAATATCATGTTCATGAATCAAATTTAATATTTTGATACTGTTTCATGAAAAAGTCATATTTTTTCCATAGAATCTATGAGTACCAGCATGGGGCACATTTCTTCTCCCTGCAAATATTTGTCAATGAATTGACAGCCATTATACAGGGTGAAACACTGTACAGCACTTTTACCAGTTCCTTGATTGGAAAGGCACTATATAAACAATAGGTATTATTATCATTACATACTGGTAGTGCGTATGAATCTTATACTGTTTTTCATTCCCCTCTGTTACAGCGACACTGTCAACAGATGCATGGTGTCTATCAAGTTGTAGCAGTCAAGGAGGCAGCTGTTAATCTTAGGAGGCTCAGGTAATAGATTGAAATGTCATTTGTACCTTCCACCCATCTATGAAAATAAAGAATTAATTTGATTAATCAGTGATTTGCTTACCATTTTATCATTCATGTAATAATGATAATAATAATGTATACTCATGAACAGTTATTGCTTGTAGTGTACTTCTTCTGTTGAAGTACAGGCCACCATGTTGTTGGTGTATCTTCGTACTTTGGGGTTGTGCAGATATATACATGTATGTACAGTGATGTGGATGATCTAATCTATGTGCGGTTAAAAAGAACAGGCGCAATCCTAGCGCAACTGTGTCTTTAAGTTGGCTACTGAGGTACAGGCGATTGCACTTGCAGGGAGAACGTTCCAGAGTCCAGAGTCTGATGGTGTCAGGAACGAAAGTTTATGATATGTGCAAGTGCGAGCATATGGAACATGCATCTTCATCTGATGGCCACGAAGGGAAGTTGAGGCATGATTGAAGTATTACGCAGCTGGTACATCAACCAAGGAGTTGAGTATGCGGTACATCATTATCACCTTGAACTGAGCACTATTTGTAGGTCCGTATATATTTTTCCTGTTTTTTCAATGTAGGCATGCATTTTCTGACTGGAGGGTTTGTGTAGAGACAGCCAAAGAGGAGAGATCACTGAAGAGGATAGCAGTCCATCATTGGAATACAAGGATACTCGGCAAGGTTTGTAGGAGTTCTGTTGAAAGATCATTCTGAGAATAGAGCCATAGGATTGTTGAGGACATGTTATCTGAATGTCTGCAAAAGAACAGTGTGTTCAAGAAAATAGATATTTTCTTTTCCACCTTAATTTCTGAAAATGACAATTTTCCTTTTCAATTTATTTTGAAATCTTTTGCCATTTCCACATTTTATCAGCTCTATAAACTTATTATCTGTTTTATGAGTCTTGATATCTGACAAAGTCTCCTATGTTTTAATAAAAACACAGTATCCTTCAAATACAAAGAGTGCTGTTATGTATTCTATAGAGTGATGCGTACAATCACCAGTCGAAATCTGGCTATGTAGACAGGTCAATGACTGGTCAAAGACTGTTGAGGGTTCTTGAGGCCTCCCAGGGCTTATGACACTCACTAGTGATGATGAACATGATACACATTCATATATGCACAAACCAACAGAATATATTTTTGCAATGACGACCTTCGTCATTGCCTTGTTTTCGTTCACATTCTGCCCCATTAATATTCTCCTTTTCCTCCTTATCCTTATCCTTATCGTCCGGAAATCGCATTCGTTTTGCACACAGTGCTTGTTATTCCTAGTTAGGTACTTTCCTCGTGTCCTTTTCCTTTCAAATTTCATAGGCATAATCTCTAACATCTTATCAAGGTCACTACATTCTTCGATTTACGAAATCACTCATGCATAACCGTCCAGGCGCCATTTTGTCCGTTTCTGGTCCATTTCAAGGCCTTTCTTTCTTCCTTCATATCTCCACTATCCTAGATCCTACAAATTTCTAACAAATTCCTCTAGATAGTCTGAGAGATGTTCTTTCATCTGCGACATATGACTTGACCTTCAAAATGCCATGTACGTACTCAAAATTCAAATCTGAAACCGACTCCGTCAAAAATCTCTAAAATTCTTGAAAAATGGAACCCTAAAAATCTAAAACTGCCATAACTTTCTCATATAAATTCCGTTTTGTGTTTAAATCTCACAGTATCCTTATCTCATAATTGCACATAGCCATGCCAAATTTTATGCTCCAATGGCTGTGCAAAACATAAATAGCGCCCTCTAAAGTTCTGGGAATTGGCTTTCTCTCTGTGGCCGTATCTCCATTATGGCTTGGCAAACCCATACCCTTTTTTGGATTTAGATACTTGAAGATATGCCCTTTCCAGCCATATACAAAATTATATACCCTAACACTGACCGACTTTGCGAAAAATGCCCTCCAAATTCGCCATTTTCAAGAAAATTGAGAAATAACTTCAACTTGCTCTAAATTAGCGATCGTTATACCTACATCCATGAAACTTGGCATACATTTGTATCCATATACGTGACAACTGTCTGCCAAGTTTGGTAAAATTCTAATAAGTCAGCGCAAAGTTATCGCCAAAAATGATGAATTTACTATGCATTACGTAATAGCGCGTTTAATGCGTGCAGTACGTTGCGCGCATAGGTCAATTGTGTCAAACTGACCGCAATAAAGTGCCCTTTCGAATGATACCAAGTATAGTATATGTTCACACAGAAAATTGTGAGTAAATTGCATTTGAACAAAGGTCACTACACGAATTCCGCCGAGTTTCCGCCCGAATCTAACACGTATCGGCTATGACGTCATTTTTTCAGACTGCTTTTCGCCCCTTAAACGTCGTTTTTTTTCCTTGAAAATTTACAGTGACATGCTGAGTTCCAATACGCAGGGCACCTCATGGCCGGATTTTTGAAATTTGTCAAGGGGGCCATTTAAGTCCTATAAATCTATTTTACATCACGTGCTATGATAGGATTATCAAAGAAAAAAAAAGAGTAGTTTACAATAACAACCATGAAATTCTCTTTCTAATGATACCAAATACGGCCCATAAAGAGGCATAAAGAGAGAGAGAAAGAACAATTTTACTCCGGTCATAATACAGATCCTGTACGTTTTTCGCCCATGCATTACACGCATTGATTATGGGGCATATCGGGTTCACGCTTTTGGTCCCCAGAACGATCTTTATTGCAATGACGAACATGTACCAAATCCCATTGGTTTTTGCACGCAGTGCTTGCGAGCCCTTTTTAGGTTCTTTCCCCTATCCCAATTTCTTTCAAACTTCGTAGGCGTAGTCACTACCATCCCATCAAGGTCACTGTTGAGGCCTTTCTTTCGCCCTACCTATCTCCAATGTCACAGCGTCATTGCACGCACATCGTTGTCACACGATTGCATTTCTAGTTATATGTTCTTTTAATTCTGATTTGCAAAAAATAATCTATCCAAAGAAAATGTGTAAATTTTTAATGAATGCAAATAAACTCATCCAAATACCTGTTTTGCTAATTGGGAGGCAAAATTGAACTGATTAATTATGAGGCAATGGTAGAGTAATAAATGCTTCTTTAAACGCCCCCAATCTATGTAAGGCGATGTGATGAGCATAAGGAACCAATATTGCAGTTTTGCCAATAAAGGTGAGTTAAAAGGTGATGAGGAACATGAATACCACATGAATGATGGAATAAATGTTTCCAATAATTGCACATGGTATTAAACTGGATTCATGAAAATCTAGGGAAGATAAGTGGTGAATTTGAAAAAGTATGAGAAAGGGAAAAGGATATAAAGTAGCTATAGTGGAGGAATCATACTAAAGGAGCTATGAGGACATGACAAGACGAGACAGAAAGTTAGAATATTGGACATAAGTGATAACAGAATTAGGGTAATTGGCATTAGGACATACAGTATGTGATCTGTACAAGATATAAGGAGGAAAGGTTAGGTAAGGTTGTAAGGATAATAAGTGAAAGCATCAACAAGTGAAAAATGAAGGAACAACCATAAAGGAGGAACATAGAGTGAAGCTGAAAATAATAACATGAACTCTACTGAGAGCCAGAAGGCCATTAACTCCACATGAAATGAGTTTATGCCCTTCTGTCTCTAATTAGACGACATGAAGAAAGATGAGATTCAAAGAAGGATGGTTAAATGTCTTACGCCTGTATCTGCGACTGCTTATTCTGCTTATTCTGCGGCCACCACGCACTTTCTGCTGCGCCTTCTGGAAAAGCCCCTGAGCATTGCTGATTGAAAGCACCAACTGCCCGTCGTCAGCTAGATTGGGCATGGACCGTGAAAGGCGGTACTCCTTGTAACATTTACCCTGCAGGAGCTTGTTCTGACGGAGCGGTATAACGGAGGGTGAGGTGGGGCGTCGCTGGCTGTGATGGTTGTGATCTGTTTGGGTGGTAAGTAAGTGGTGGTGGTTGTGGTGGTGGTGATTGTTGTGGTGGTGCGGGTGGAGATGGTGACAGTTCTTGTTGTAGCTGGTCTCATGAATCAAATTGCTTTCCGAGTGGTACTCTGTGTAGAGATGGACATTATATGGAGTCGATTGGAAGAGAGTGAGTGGGGATTGAGAGGCTTAAATGTAAGATGCAATGCAAGAGCAAAGAGCAAGATTTGACTTTCAAATGCAGGCAAGCAGATGCTTCTGTGACATGCAATGTGAAATGCAAAGTGAAATGCAAAGTATAATGAAAAAGATGCAGCTCGTGCAGAAAGGATGCTTGATTTTTTTTGATGATTTCTTTTTTTAATACAGACACAGAGATTGCATCGAAACTGAATGAACTTACCAACATCATATTGTATTCTCTTTTTAAAATGTTCAATAGAACTTCAATGACTACTATTCATACATAGAATACAAATACAAAAAGAACGTAAGTAACGGTATCATATATAACATAATGTTCACATCATTTTTAAAGATTTCAGCAATGCAACAATAAGTTTCTTTCTACATACCTACAGCCTACTTAAAACTAGTCTAGATGTACACAACACTTCATGAAGACTACATGGTTACAGCCTTTGTTGTACACTAATGCACAGTATACACATTAAACAGTATTCCCCTCATGAGGAGGGCTTAATAAGTTTCTATGTCTTCTTCTTTTTTTACATATTAATGAAACACAAGTGGAATTTACGATATCAATTTCACATAGCAACATTCATATTTACAGAGGACTCACCTTATTCTTATGACATTCAAAACACAAGATGACACAACAACAAAAATTCAATAAGAATTCAACATTCCAGACAAGTCACAGAGACTGCCCTAGCTTGTTAAGATATATATGTATATATAGACCCTTCAACTACCCTCTAAACCCGGACATCAAACAGAGTTAGATCAATACCAGAAACCTAAAGCAACTATATAAACATACATGTAGACCTGGCATGTTACCTAATCACAGTAAACACTACAAGATTACATGTCCCTTAAGTCGTACAATCATTGCAAAACAAAATTAATTCCCCTATTATCATCTTTAAACTTTCCTATCATTTACTATTCAAAAAAGATTCCATTATCAAATTACAGGTTGATCTTGAAGGTGCTTTTGCTGAGCAGGATGTGAATTGTTTTTTTAATGTTTTGATTATTAAAGACTATCAACAATGATAAGGAGAAGACTTTGCACCTCACCTGTGAAGAACTACATAATAAGAGCTAATATTTGCTGATCAACATATATAATCGTCTGCTCAGGGCCCAAAGGGCAGTAATTCATATCATTTGAAACAAGTTTAGCTCTCAAGAGACAATGTCTTTCAATCCTTTTGGTTTCAAAATATATTGACAAACACACTGAACTATGTAACAATCAAACAAACAAACAGACAATTAACAATACCAAGAACAAAATAATAATAGAAGAATGACATTATGAAAATCATGTGGGGGGGGGGGTAAAGAAAATAAAGACTAATGCATTATCTGTTTGGAGCAATTAGAAGGGTATTAACTCACTCATTTCAAACATTGATACACCCCTTCTAGCTCTAAACAGAAGATATATTGTATGTAAAGTGAAAGAGGAAGTTAGATCCAAAGTAAAGTCAGTGGAGTATATATATATATATATATATATATATATATAGCGAAACTATAGACAAATAC